TGTCAAAATCCTTAAATTTTAGGTATATGCTTCTTTAATAAAACTCACCTTTATTTTTTTCTTAGAATCCGAAAATCAATTAATATATAGGGTGTTCCATTAGAAAAAATAAAACTTTGATGTGTAACTCTTTTTGGGGACATCCTGTATAAAAAAAACAACGCTTTATTGTACAAAAAGCCAAAACAGCTTCATCGACAAAGCATTCACAAAACAAAAAAGGCACAAAAACAAATATACAAATAATAATAAAAAAAATGTCATACAATACAAATCAATTCAAAAAAAATTACGTCATAAAATTACAAATAAAATATATATGGACATTGCAGAACATAGGCGTATCTAGAAAATTTTACAAAAGGAAAACTGTAAATGGATAAAATCATGTTATACAGGGTGTCTCAGAAATAAGTGCAGATATTTTAACTGGTAGTATAGTTCAACCCCAGAAACACGCCTATGAGGTTTTTTTGCGAAAAAAAAATGTTGAAAATTTAAAATTTTTCTTGACATTTTCCGGGAAATTTGAAAAAACTTTTTAGTGCCACTTGTTTATTCACCTGAGATTTCTCTACGGTGTATCTAAACCATGCAGTGTTGCAACCTCCTATGTTATCCACATTCTACATAGTTCTACATTTATAAATTCATAGACAAATTTCTACTCAAAAATTAAGAATGTTAAATTTTCATCAGTGCTCATTATTAATAATTATTATAGAAAAAAAAACACATTAATTATTTTTAGTACTTACCCTTTCAATGAAAACTTAACAAAAACCACCGAAAATTAACTAAAACATTACGTTTATGACGTTTACGAAAATGATTCATTATATTATTCACAACCAGGTCACAAAAAAGAAATTCCTAAAATGTTTATCGTAATTTAGAATTCAATATTTGTTTTCTTTCATGTTTCTCTGTTTTATTTGAACCACTGATTTACAAAACACCTTGAAAAGCGCACATTACTTTGAATACCTCTCTTATCGCTACTTTACGAACTACTTTCAATTTAAGACATGTTTCACTCAACAATTTTAAATACGTATTTTGTTTTTTCGCTATTTTTTCGATGTATTTTGACAGCCCGACCGTCGCGTGTTGGCCAAGAGTGCCACGTGTGAACTGGTCCTTTGAGCCGCGCCGTCGTGGCAGGCTTGCGTCAGACGACGATGTTAAGCAACGTTGCCGTAGTTACAACAATTTCAAATTCAAGAGATTCGAAGCAATCAAATTTGTATTAAATTTTAAAAATAAAACAGAGGAACATGAAAGGAAACAAACAAAACGAAAATGAATTGATTATTCGTCGGGCTGTTTTCGATATATTGAATTCTGAATTACGATAAACAATTAAGAAATTTCTTTTTTGTGACCTTATCAATAATCAATTCATTTGTGTTTTGTTTGTTTCCTTTCATGTTTTTCTGTTTTATTTTTAAAATTTAATAAGAATTTGATTGCTTCGAGTGTCTTGAATTTGAAATTGGTGAAACTACGGCAACCTCGCATGACGCAAGCTCGACACGCCGGCGCGACAAAGAAGCAGTGAGCAGTTACCAACCAGTGATGCGTGGCTGTCTTGGCCGACGGATGGTTGAGCTGTTGACGGAATTGTCGAAATACATCGAAAAAATAGCGAAAAAGCAAAATACGTATTTAAAATTGTTGAGTGAAACATGTATTTTCTTAGATTGAAAGTAGTTCGTAAAGTGGCGGTAAAAGACAATAATTCTCAACATTTATTCATTCAGAAAGATATTCAAAGTAATGTGTAATGTGTGCTTTTCAAGGTGTTTTGTAAATCAGTGGTTCAAATTGTGATGAAGCCTATACGAAAATAATGTGTTAAGTTAAAAATGGGGACTGTTATTTTAGCAGTTTTTATAATAGCACGTACAAGTAAAGCAGCCAATGAAGTGTATTTAGTTAAGTGTGTATCGAAAAAAGAGAACTGTCGCAGTTACATCGATCTGTCATAAGTATCTTTTTTTAATGTTGGGTAAGTTTTTTTAATTTAACTTTTAAACATTTAACTTTTAATTTATTTTATGTAATAATATCACAATCTTAAAAATGTAATGCATCTCTGCAAACTCCTCAGGTGTTGTGATTTTATGACTTACTTGTAAACATAGACTTTCTTGTCCATATGGCAACACAGTGCGTCGAATTAACTGAAATCCGGGCTTGATCCGGGTAATTGGATGTAGTTGGCAATATCTGCCGGCGGTTCTCAAAATGTTGCGATTATTTTTTTAAATTTTCAAAGTTAAATAACTCAGTTATTTTCAATTTATTTTAAAAATGGTAAAGAGAAAATATGTTTATTTTGACCAGATCTACCACCTCTTAAAATATCTGCACTCATTTCTGGGACACCCTGTATATCATAAAATCAAGAGTTATAAAATATTAAATACTAGACCTTTAACCAGTGTGTGAGATGATCAAAATTTTAAAATTCAAAATTGTTCATGATTAAACATCAACAAAAAAGTCGTTCACCGCATATAGGGCTCTCTCCAGTAAGTATGATTTCAGAGCTTTGCAAAATGCGGGAAAGAATGAAAGTGACTTGATATTCGAAGGCATATAATTCTATATATTTTTATAAAATACTTTCAGTTAACTGTAACTACATATGCTGGCAAAATTTCATTTCGATATAAACGACCGTTCTACTTGGAGCTTCCGCGGTGTATGAGAGGCGCCACCCTGTATATTAATCTTTAAAATAGATAAAAAATTTAAGGTGCCCGTTTTTCGTGCCGGTGAATGAATATTTTAGTCTCTACCATATCGTACTGATATTAGTTAGTTAAGGATTTGTTATAGTGCCGATGATAATCTCAAAGGACGTAAAACTGCATCAAGTACTGTCGACAACAAAGGTTTCATAGATACTTTTACGTGCATAGCGTTGCGTTCCGCCGTTCTCTATACTTTCAGATAAAGATCTTTTGTTTGGAAGTGACTAATGCATTTTGCAACGAGCACGATAAATCTGCAGGGTTTAATGTACCCGGCTGAAACTAGTTTCTCTATTTACCCCGATTGATCAATCCATCGATCATTTTCCATACCTTTGTCCGTACTTACTGTAGTTTGTTGTCCATTTGCATAATAATCTGACGTAATTATCGCTATTACAATCAAGTTTGTGCAGTGCGTTGCGACACCGTTCTAACAGTTGCAGTAAATCAGACAAACTTATTCATCGATTCAGTGTTTTTATCGGGTGTTGGGTATTTTTAGTGCGTATAATTTATTGTAATTTATTTTTTCTATAACGTTTGTACATATATAAACGTTGTGGTTTCAATTTCCTGTTATTTGAACGGTGTAATGAGGAAATTTTTAATTGGAATTTTGTGTCGGTCTTAGAGATTAGGTGGCGTTGGAGAAAATAGGATGTTTACTGTATGCACATTAGAATGTATTACACACATAGACTTAAAATAAAATATAGACTACACTATTTACATCTAAACGCGGTCAAACAATCTTTTTTGTACACATCTTTACTTCTGGGTACAGTCGACCGAGCCTTCCTCATCCAGCCTATGTTGTCACGTCTCTAATATTATCAATATTGTTTTCTTGTTATACACATATATTGAGATATTAATACTACATTTTAATAAAGTAGGTTTTAATATTCCATAGATGTATTAAATAGTCCTTATACTACTAAATTATAAGTCGGATACTATTTAAAAAGGATAAGTTCTTTATAATATGGCAACACCGATTAGAGGCGAGGTCGCCTATTCATTTATTTATTATACCTTGTAGTACGCGTCGCACGTGTGCGGTAAAGCTTTGTTGCCGCTATGTCCCCGGCTGTATTAACGCATTTTCTTAGCTTGTAGTCCTTAAGTGTTTATTTTATTTACTTTTTCTGTTCAAGAACTATAAAATATGGTTCGCAAGTGCCAAATTTGCAAGAAATTTGACTTAAATAATCCATTTAAGTCTTGAAACAACTTTCGACCGGTAGGCAACTCTCAATTTACCCATTGGGAGTCAGTGGCGTTGTTGTAGAAAGGAGCTTATTTAGATAATATTTTAGTAAAATGTAAAATCTGAATTTTTTCTCTTAGATAATCATTTATATAAAGGTTTTTGTGACAAAATCATAATTATTATAACCCTGTTAATAATTAATAATGTTTTTATTAAAAATATATTCCGGTTTATTCTAAAATTATCTTCTGAATCTAAAATAACATACAAGAATTTTAAAATGATATTACATTATGAAACAATATTTTTTAATATACCGGCTTAGTTAAACCATTCCTTCAAATTTTTGAATTTAATAGAATCTTCCTAAACAGTAGATGTTCTTTATAAAACTATTTTTAGATAATACCCTAAAATGAAAAAAAAAATGCATACTATTTAATTTATTTTTATTGTCTTATTAAATATGTATAACGTCCGCCTATGACGGGGTCTCATCATCTTGGAAAACGCTAAAGACGCTACAGAAAACAAACTGATTTGTTTTCATTTGCTTTTTTTGCGAGACACGTCGAACGCTACAAGTTTTTGGTGTGGCCACTCCTATATATTCCTGTTATTTTGTTTTAGTCGCTAAAGACGCTTCACGCTAGAAACGCTAAAAACGCTTTCTGTGCGGTCGTGGGCTAATACAAACAACATTTCCAGAACTATTAATAAATCAATATGTTATATATGTCAATTAAACGTCACAAATATAACTGTCAAAGTTTTTGGCAGATATATAAATAGATGTTAAAGTCGTCGTGCAGATATTAAAAAATTACATACCTACGCATCTCCTTACTGTTCAGTATTAACTACTCTAGCGTGATACAAACCCAATTCGAAATATTTGAGGTAATTTGATAAGATACAATTATCTGATAAGGAAGCGCTGCCATTTTTACGTTTCAGTTGATATCACACGCGAGCCGTATGTTTGACGTGTAATTTTAATCCAGTGTTTTCTTCTTTTTCAGTAATCTGTAAAGCTGGGGTATAAGGAAGCGAGCGGCACCAAAATGGTGGACTACTACAGAGTCCTCGAGGTGCCCAAAAGTGCTACCACCGTCGAAATTAAGAAAGCGTAAGTGTTTACCTGTTTACTTTTTCTTTTACGTACTACAACCATATCTGTTTCGTAACTCCACTTTAGATTAGAGTATGTAAGGTTAAGGTGTAGAAGTATACTGTTTTCGTTAAATTTAGTTCATATTTTAAATGCGTTTATTTTAAATCTTATAATAAAGATTAATTTTACGACAATTAATATTAAAAGTTCCATTGTCTTATCTGATAAAAAAATCTTGTCATAGGTTATATTTATTCCTTTTATTTTGCATTAATATTAATATACACTCACCGGCACGAAAAACAGGCACCTTAAAATTTTGATATACTTTTTCGCTTTAATATTTTATGTTCTGGTGGGCCGATTTTGATGATTTTTTAACCAATTTGTAACTAAATTAGTTGACTTTTTAGTATATATTTCTAATTTGTAAAGTTCCCATGTGTCAATTATACGAGGGAAAACAAAATGTTGATATTTTGGTTAAATTTGAAACACCCTGTGGAATACATTAACAAAGCAAGGAATTTAAAAATTATTTTATCATCTAGGTAAATATGTTCTTGATAGTTTTATTTTTTGGTTCATCTCAATAGCTTTATTTTTGTTGGAGATATTGGCTTTTGAAGAAGACACTAACTTTTTTCCTATTTTTTATTCTGATAATAACATGTTACAGAGTTACCGATCAAATGAAAGAAAAAAAAACATTACTACTAATACCGAGTATTAAGCCGGGACCCCATTAGCCCACACGCCACGCCACGCCACACCATCCCACGTGAGCCTACGTGTGGCGACGTGGGAAAGAGTGTACATATGAGATCTGGGATCAGTGTTGCCAGATATACCATTTAAATGGTATCTATACCATTTTTTCTTCCTTGATACCTGCAAAAATTTTGAGTATACCATTTTCCATTTTTCTGCCATTTTTTGAAGACGTTACCATTTTTCTACCATTTTTTTAGAATCCCAGCGATCTACATTTTTTAAACTTTTTAATGCAAACCAATCTAGTTTTCCACATCTACTAAAAATATGAAGCACATCTCTATTAGGCTATCTCATATCTCTATTATTTTTTATAGGTATTATTTCTTGAAAAGTTTTACCTATTTTATTCTAAGTCTATGGTTTTACCTATATTTTCAGAGCCAAATATGTAGATTATTAATGTTGAATTATTAATAATATATTTTATGTTACCTATCTATTTAAAATGTTCCTATTACCTTATTATTATATTAGGTCTGTTCGTTTTCCTGTTATTATCGATTCTGAATCGTCCTAGAACTCTCCAGCGCATGCGCAAATGAAATAATGTCTTCATATTTCCTTCTGCGCATACGCATCACAATTCTAGGACGGTTCAGAATCGGTAATAACAAGAAAACGAAAAAAGCTATTAATTATACCTATTTCTTTTATTATTATTTTGCATAAATAAAATGTTAAAAAAAAATTAAATGCCTTGCGCAAGAGTTCAAAACTGATGTGACAACCAACAGCTACGATATTTTCAACCAAAATGAGGTTTGTTTGGTTTTTGGGGTTAATCCACGGTTAATCATAGTATCAAAATTATAAAAATATTAAGATCCTCTTTAAAAGTAAAAATACCATTTTTTTCAGTCAAATACCATTTTTTTAAATACTCGATACCACTTTTTATTTTTTCCATCTGGCAACACTGTCTGGGATAGACGAATCGCCCATCACACGTGTGATAGCGCGTGGTACGGCGTGGTGTGGTGTGGCGTGAGCCCTAGTGTGTACGCAACACATGTAATTAAATGGAAAAACATACGCACAGAGGCACAGATCTTCATGTCGTGGAGTGGCACGGCGTGGCGTGGCGCGTGACCTAATGGGGTCCCAGCTTTAGCCCCTCTGGCTTCAATCATACCTAAATCTGTTACATAATTTTGATCTTCAATTAAAGCGGATACAACTTCTGGTCTTAAAACCATCTCTGCTAGAGTAACCACCGTTAATAATAAAATAATAATAATATGAATAAATAATAATAGTAACAGTAACAGTTAAATTGCATCGCTATGACCTATATGTGCTAGCTCATAAATTATCGCAAATAACTATTATTTTTGCATCATGTTTACTATAATTTTATTGTTAAATAGTATTTTATTTAAATTTTACGATTATGCAACCCGATATACACCGCGATATTATACAGCGACAGCTACACAATATTTGCTGTCCTCCTTTCACGCAGTTGAGCAACTCTGAACTGTTCAAGAACGCGATACTCTCACTCCATTCAATTGAGTCATAAAGTTCCAGAATTGTTCCGCGCCATATGGAGGTACCAGGCTATCCTTTGTTTTGGTTATTGAAATTTTATAATTATCAGATAAAATTTCGTAGTTAAATTGTTTATTTTTGATGTGGATCGCGGTGTGCAATTCGTTCATTTAATTGTGGAATTACTGAGTTAAGTTCGTTCATTGACCGGATATGGAAATATGGCAGTGGAAAATATTCTAGAACATCGTTTTTTATTTATGCCTTTTTGTGAGTTGGACTAGAGTAGATATATAGTTGTCTATCTATATCCTGGGGGGAGATTTCCGGTTGAAATCTGATTTTGTGAAGGAAATCGAATCCTTGCATCACTTCTTGTGTATCCACCGACCGGGTATCGTCGTGAAGAACTGGCTGCCCTTTTGTGAAGCATTCCCTGTTGGTAGCTAACAGGTCTTCTTAGAGAAGGACTAAGTCTTCCGAAGCACATTTGGTCAGAGACGTGGTTGGATTTTGTTGATTGTGTATGGACCGCCGACCAATTTCCGCAATTGGATTAAAATAGCCAAATTTTCCGACCGATATTCCGATTCCACATGCCCAAGAAGTCCCCGACTAGAGTTCCAAGAGCAAGAAGACCGATCCAGACCGTAGAGCACAGAACAGTCCAGAATTCCATCCGTTCCTGTTGTCCGTGTAGAGGTACCCGTTGGACATCATAAGCCCTCGTTGAGGTCACCTTTTGATGTCCTACACCTGCCTGGTATCTATTCATTTGCTGACGGGCTCCAGTGACAGTACACCGAGCTGCGGTACCCTGCTGTAGCCACCCCATAGCTGTACACCGTAGTTCAGCCGGAGGAGCCTCCGAGTAGTTTCAAGTTTCAAGACTGTAGAGTAAGATCGTTTAGATATTAGTTAGATTTAGTTTGATATTTGTAATCCACCCAGGATATTGTACTTGGTTTTAAGGGGGATTATGACGTCATACTTGTAGTTCTTGTGGATTTAAATTTCATTTCACTTTACATTTATTTTCATTTACCTCCAATTTAATTTCTTTATATAATAACTTTTGAATAGTTTAATAAATTGCTTAAATATTTTTAGTATTATTATTTACAGTCTAATCTCATAATTAAGTTAGAGTCACTTAAGTTCAACGAGTTATAGTATAATTGAAGTTCATGGTAGTTGCACTCAACAGTTCGAGGTTAGTGTTGAAGTCTACTTAAAGGTTGTCGCCCACTAGACCGCTGCGCGGCGCGGCGCTGGGAAGAGTATTTTTTCCGGCTGCGAAGGAACTGCGCCCACTATAGCGCGCTTTTGAAACGCGGCAACGCTATTTAGTTATAGTCGAAGTGTTTTTTACTTACTGTAGTTTAGTTTTTAAAGCAATGAGTTCAAGTACGGACGAAAACGTATTTTTGTGCTCTTCTAACAGAGGAAGAGGGGGGTAAGGAAAAGTTTGGACTCATACGATTAACAAAAAAGAAAGAAGTTTGGAGAATTTTACCCATCTTTTCCAGATTTAATAAAAGACAAGATCATTTTTTCAGTATTACAAAATATAAAGGAAACATTTTACGCAGTCCTCAATTGAGGTTTTAGAAGCAAAACACTGAGTATCTCTACTCATCATATTTTTCAGAAGAGACAAATTACTAATACTTTTGATAATTCTTATTTATTCTGATGTGTATATTAGTTATTTGGTGAAAAAAACCCTGATCTTTTTATATATTTAGGTAATTAGAATTTAAAATTGGAGATTGTCACTTTTGTTAAAAAGTGGAGATTGCCGGTTTTGCCTCTACACCCCTCAATTATATTAAATCTTTGATAGAAAGGCATTTCGTCCATCTGTCTGTAGTGAGGGAAGACTATATATTCCTTTATGAAAATCGATTTGCCTAATTTACCTTTAAAAATACAATTCTACCAGTGATACATATCACTAGTTCCTAGTCAAAAAGCCAACTGAAAAGACTCGAATGCAAAATTATTTCCCTTGTGAGTACGCACACTGCAACGCGTCAAAACGCGGGAGACGGAAAAAAGTTGCTAGAGAAGTCTTCCGACTTCTTGACGGAAATCCCGCGGCGCGCTTCTGCGCTGCGCGCTCTAATGTGCGTTGGTTCATTTAAATACATGGCAAGCAGACAAAAGAAATTTCCACATGGCGCCGCGCCGCGTCGCGCCGCGGTCTAGTGGGCGACAACCTTAATAGTAACATCTTTTATGCCGAGTTCATAGAGTATAATCTCGTGGCGCCCTTTTATTAAGATCTGTTGACTAAAAATGACAAAAAATGTGAGTATTTTCTTCAAAAGCGAATACCTCCAAAAGAAATAAAGCTATTGAGATGAACCAAAATGATTTTTAAATTCCTTGCTTTGTTAACATATTCCACAGGGTGTTTCATCAATATATCAACATTTTATTTTCCCTCCTATAATGACAGATAAGCACTTTCATTTTTAATTTTGAAAGAGATACTTAAAAAGTCGAATAATTGCTACAAATTATTTAAAATATCAGCAAAATCGGCTCACTAGAACACAATACATATAAAACTTGTTAAAATACGTGAACATTTTAATGTGCCCGTTTTTCGTGTCGATGAGTGTATTATTCGTTGTGCTTTCATCTGAAAATATACTATTTTTTATTATCAGTCCAAGAGAAATTAATTAGGTCAACTGAATCCTGATTAATTTATCAGGATAAAAAACAAGACTTTTTTA